CCGACCACGGTTCAAGTCTCAGACCTGGTGGCTTGCTTCCTCACTTCCTCTCTCTCTGTCTCTCTCTGGTCAAACTGAAAAATAATAATGATAATAATAATAAATAAAGTTAAATAAAAATAATTCTAAAAAAATAATAATTCTAAAAAAAAATATTTTTCAGGTTTATTTTATTCATGAGAGAAAGCATGTGTGCATACATGCACGAGAGGGAAAGTGAAAGAGAAGCACCCTCCACAGTGGCTTGTCAGGCTGGGATCCCGTCCACCGGCCCTCCAGCTCCTGAGGATCGTGGGCACCCAGCATGGCATGTTTCAGGTCCACCAGATGGGGGATTCGAACCCACAGTCATTCATGTGGCTTCCAGCACGTAGTTCACTACCTACCACCCGTGCCAGGCTGGGCCAGTTCTTTTCATTTTACTGTCCCAGTATGCGCCCAACAAACATGACCCCGATGCTACTAGGTGCCTCTTGTGTCACCAAGATTGAGCATTTGCTAAATGCCCATGGCTCTGAGGATTTTCAAGGAATTTATAACCTGACTAACTTGTCAGTAAAGATTCGTGAGTCTACTCACTCACTCTGAGGGAGTTTTTAACCACTGTGTCCATCAGTCCTACAAAAGAACTTTAGGAAAGCCTATTTATTTAAAAATTGTAGAAAATGTTGGCAGTCGGCTATTAAACCTCTACCATCCTTTGAGCAGCTGCCTCATTATCTCATTTTTGTTGTTCTTCTTAGGATTGCTCTCTCATAGGCCACGTGTACCTTAGCAAAGAGCCAGAAGGACAGTATGTATTGGGGATTTTTTACAGCTCAACGAGGCTTACAGAGATGCATAAGGGATTCAGTGAGCCTGAATCCCTTTTTTATACCTAGACGTTTCTGTAGCCGTATTTACTCTGTTGTCTCCAGAGTAACTTAGTGGCATAGGATAATGTATGTGGTTATCTAGTAAGGCTGCAAATCAAAAGTGAGGAAAACTAAAAACAAACCGAAACTACCATCACTTGAGAAATGACTTCCTCTAACATTTTAGGGAGGGAGTGGTGCTGTTGGGGCTTCTGGTTTTACTAATCTGGTGAATGGGTGAGGGAATATGTTTTCAGTGCTGTAGACTGCCCTGGTCCTTCCATGGTTAACACCTTGGCTTCGTTACCAGCACTCTTTCTCCTTTCATCCTTTCATCAATTGTCCTAAACTCATGAGACATCATTCATTATATTCTAGAATTCAAAATTTGGCCTGTAGGGAGCCAACCTGTGATGCAGCAGTAGCACAACTCTATATGATGCTGGGCCCACATGGGAAGGTCCTCTGTTAGAATCCTGAGGCCTCCCTGCACACTGGCTGGCTGAGGCTGGGAGTGGACTGTGGCATGAAGACCCTGCTGGGAGTACCTAGCCTGTACTTGCACACACTCACTCTCTGTCATGGAAGGAATAAATAAACTTTTTAAAAGTCAGCTTGTAGAGGCCAATGGGTGGCATGCTGGTTAAGACACTGGATCCCACATGGTCAACCACAGTTTGAGTCCTGGACCCAGAGGCTTGAAGATCACACTGGGGGCATGTGCATGCATGGCCAAAATCCCAAGAGGAGAATGGAGAAGAAGGAATTGTGGCATGGTCATCCCCCCCAGTAGAGTGGTTTCTCACTTCCCTCTCTCTGTATCTCTCGCAAGCACACTTGCCTTATGGCAAAAAACCTAAAATAAATAAATAAATAAATCAGCTAATCAACATATAGATTAAAGAATGTCTTACAAACCTAGCCCAACTAGTAAGTGCTTTTGGACTCAGGCTACTTGCATTAACAAGTAAATCAATGCCAGGCATAATAGTACTTTGTTTTTCTGAAAAGCCCTCTACCTCTAGCGTCTCAGTTTTCATGTTTAGCTAGCTGAAAAGAGAAAGTGGAGGATGAATGGGGAACGTTGTCTTTATTTTTATTTTATTTATTTTTTTTTTTGGAGAGATTTTCACTGTAGGGCGTGTGCGCTCGCCAGACAGACAGAGAGAGACATAGAGACAGAAAGCGAGAAATCACCCCCCAGGGGGATGGTCACGCCGCAATCCCTTCTCCTCCATTCTCCTCTCGGGATCTTGGGCACGCACGCACACGCGCCCGGCGTGAGTTTTAAGCCTCCGGGTCCGGGACACGAACCGCGGTCGACTACGTGGGAGTCCAGCGACATAGCCATTACGCTAACTGCTGGTTCCCGGGAACGTTGTCTTTAAAGGCGCTGATTGTGGTTATTTGTGTTACAAGTAAAGTTTTATCGGTATTATTGGCTTTGGTTTTAAATACCAGAACTATAATCCACACATCAGCAAATGAAGTGAGAATTCAGCACATGTCAGATAACTGGTTCAAACTATAGCTGTGTTTTTCAAGCTGGAAAGATCACCTTGAGATATTTAGTATTTATAGGAACTAGATAATTTTCAGATTTCCTTTTGAACTATGCAGATAAAAAAACTAAGCAATGCTTTACTATTCAGTAAACTGCTAGCATTTACTCAGTAATCCCTTCTTAAATGTGAGAAAAATTTTCTTCTGTGTTTGAAGATTGCCATTTCTTTATGCAAAATATAATAGAATTTATCAACAGTGAAATGCAAAAGGATTTATTTTTACTGAAAGACCAAAATGAATGTGATCGTTTCTGAAGTGACTTCTTTTTTGCAGAAATTAGAAGACTTTTTCTCTTGATCTCTCTAATAACATAAATGAAAGAACAAAGCATGAAACCATGGCCTGGGCCCTGCTCAAAGGAATCATTGAAAGAATATTTCAAACAGGATTCATACATATAAATGGCTATGACATCTATACAGGTGTAAGCTTTTTGAAGTTAGAGTATCAAAGTGTGAAAGAGTCAGAGGAAAAAAAAAGATTTGTACCTCGGGACACAGGAATACAGGTCTTTGCTCAAAATATTAGTATGTTAAATAAATGTGGGCACAAAAGACAAATAGCCCCTCATAATTCTCAGTGTGGCCATTTGAATAGATTACTCTTCTACTACAGAGAACAGCCTTCTGCTCTAGCATAAGATACGTACTTGCCCATCTTTTCAAGTTATTTTCCAAAATAAACATTTCTATTTCTGTCTTTAGTAAAAAAAATATTTAGGTCATGAGAGAAGAAGCAATTGAGAGAATGTCTTTTTATCCTCATTCTCTATAGCAGTATGTGTTCTCTAAGCATAATACTGTAATTTTTAAAAGTAATATATTTTATTTAATCCAATATAGCCAAATTATTTTAACATATAATCATAAATCATACATCTGTGTATAATCTATGTTAATCTATATTAACAGTAGAATCTAAAGTTATTTTGTTATTTGACTTTTTTTTAACATTCAATTAACTGTGTATCATTATAGCATACCAAATGAATTTTCCCTTCATGATTACATTGTTTATTGGTCCAGTCAAAAATATTACCATAGGGGGACCAGCAGTTAGCGTAATGGCTATGTCACTGGACTCCCACGTAGTCAACCATGGTTCGAGTCCCGGACCCGGTGGCTTAAACTCACACCGGGCGCATGTGCGTGCGTGCCCAAGATCCCAAGAGGATAATGGAGGAGAAGGGATTGCAGTGTGGCCATCCCCCCTGGGGGGTGATTTCTCACTTTCTGTCTCTCTGTCTCTCTCTGTCTTTCTGGCAAGCACATGCGCCCTATAGCAAAAATTCTCTCCAAAAAAAAAAAAAATTACCATATACATTATCATCAACAGATAATTTTACATTTTTGTGTCCCTTAAATGTTTTGTTTCTTTTTTCTCTTGATTCCCTCCCTCTCATCCTCCACCATTTCCCACCCTCCTCCCACACTGTTTCTAGTATCCACAGTTGCTCTCGATGCCTTTTAAAGGTCTTAAAAGACCTTCCAGTCTTTTAATTTCTGCCATAGAGTACACACATTTGGTATATATTCAGTGGGGGCCTACAATGCCTCTCTTTAATAGTCTGACTTGCTTTGCTTAGCTGTAAATCTTCCATATTAATCCACTTTCAATCAAATGCCAGGGTCTCATTGTTTTCTAGGGCTGAGTAGTATCCTGTAATGTATATGTGCCACGCTTTTTCAATCCATTCATCTGTT